GGGGCCCTTGTAGAAGAAGGGCCTGACAGAGGGAGTTCACCCCTTTTGCCCTCCCATCCCTTCCACCATGTGAACAAACAGCATTCCTCCTCTCTGCAGGATGTAGCAACAAGGTGTCATCATGGAGGACAGCAGTCCTGCCAGATAGCAATCGGCTGGTGCCTTGATTTTGGGCTTTCCAGTCTTCAGAACTAATGGAAAGAAACCTCTTTTCTTTATGGATTATCCAGCCTTGAGTATTTGGCCACTGCATTTCCAATAGACTAAGATCCTGTCTTTAAATATATCTCTACTACATACAGAAACACTCTGGAAAGTTACATATCAATTATAATAGTAATTATTTTTGAGGCTGAAACTCGTGAACTCTTTTTCTTTTTGTTTTTTGTATATTCTGATTTTCCTAAAGCAAACATGGAAGCAGGATTTACTTGTGTAACATCTTTTTTTCTGCACTATGTTATAGTGCACATCTTTTTGGAATTATTTTAAAACTGAAACGTAACTTCAGAAGGCCTAAATTTAATCCTGAATCCCAAACCACTGAGGCCCGAGTCATTTACAGGCTCCTGAGTACCACCCTGTGATGGAGTTGCATTCAGAGTAACTGCGTTTTCTCTTTGGCAGTTGGATCTGTGATCACACAAGCCTTGAATGCATGGCCTTAAAGCAATGCCTGAGTTTTCTTCCTACGAACCTTCCAGAACTTTTAACTCCAGGGAGTAGTGTCTTTCAGAGTCACTGTGCTATGAACACATTTCTCAGGAAACTGTCTTCAGAGCTGGTTTAGTAACTCCACAAGTAAATTCATTTTGTTGTAATTCATAAGAAACTCTTGCTTAAACCACAGTCTTGCTCCTCATTTTTCTCCTTCTCTCTTTGTTATCTGCAGCTAAGTTTCACCTTCTTTGTGCTCTTCAGCTTTACTACTGTGTTCAACTAAGACTTCAAGGACCTAAGTGTTGAACTCCTGGGGCAAAACCTGGGGGAAAGGGTTATGAGGCTTAATAAACCCTGGGGCTTGGGGAGGAGCCCAGGGAGGAGCTTGAGTGTGAGAAACCCAAAAAGTGACCATATAATTTATTTCCTTCGTCTGGGATACATTTGAGTGTGTAAGGAACCAATTAATAATTAATGTCAGGTTAACCAGGATGTAAGGACACGCTCTGGGTATGGGAGCAAGTCAGGAAAGACACCCTGGCTAATGTCTGCCCACTCTGACTGCCTTTAGGACTAGAGATGTGCCAGTGTAATTGGCAGGGGGCTATAAATGTGAATTGCTGGAAGTAGAGGATGGTGTCTATTTGAGGATGGAATTAACATTGCATTTGATCACTGGGACAGATCCATGCTTAATTCACGGAAATCTCACTCATTGAAAAACAGTTGCATTGAAGAACTTCTAGTGGCTTACTAAGATTTTATGTCTACTTACACACTTTTGGATATTTCTTAAAGATGAAAATATATACCCACCTACATACTTTTGATCATCCTATAAGACTCCGCCATAACCCAGGGATTCTCACATCTCCTCTCAAAAGACTGACAAAAGATAAAACAAGCAACAAATCCCCCTGATTGCCTGGTCATTCAGTCTCAGTGTTTGCCCACTCCCTGCTCTACCTCTGTTCCCCCAGTGTTTTCCATCTGTGCAAAGCTGCAAACTCACTGTGTTTGTTGGGTTTTCCACTTCCTTTTCTTCCATTCCAGTGGAAAAGGTCTATAAACATGAGTGTACACACCATATGTGTTAAGTATTGCATTGTTTTTCAAAAGCCACAGTTCCTTGTAACATACATCTAACCAAACTCAAGTAAGAAATTTACAAATTCCTTCTTTGAAAAGTCTGGAAGCTGACTCTAGTATCTAATAGTACATACTTCTAAAAGACCGTCAGGATAGCTGAATTTATTTATTCCACAGAAATTTATTGAACTCCTCTTGCTAGTAAGGGCACTAAGAGAAACCACACAGTTCCTTACCTCAAGTTCCCAGGCCTTATAATGCCAACAAGCAGTTCAGTAAAACATGTTAAATGCCATAGTATTTAATAAAATAAATACAAAGACAGAACAAAGAGACCCAAGCGATCAACCCTTAGGTGCCAGGGAGTTAAAGGCCTCCTTCAGAAAACACTTATGGGGTCTGGAAGGTAGAATAGAAATTTTCTAGGGAAAAAAAGAAAGAAAAACCTTTTTAGCTCCTTTCTATGGGTCAGATACCTTACAAAGAGCATTTAATATATTCTGTGCATCAAACTTATCATATGGGTTTTATTCCATTTTACCAGAATATTTTTATAATTATCTAAACTTTATTATAGCATCTGCTATATATTTCTGCATCTGCTGCAGAAATAAAGCAAACCTTTCCATGACCCAAGACCATAACCCATTACTCTCAAGACTGAGGGAAAAAAAAAAAGAAAGTCTCTGTGTATAACACCAGTGTCTTTCATATCTGTTACCCCGAATTATTTTTCCAAATTTAAACTTAAAAAAGTGATACACTGTACATTTCAGGATTTCGGTTTCTGTTTACTATCAGAGGTTAGTTCAAGCTAAGGGATTGTATTGTAAAACCATTTGTAAAATATATTACATCCTAGGGGATAAATTTAGGTAAGGCACAATAACTACTGTGGAGACTTGAGCTCGTAAGTATATATTGAGTTCTGAATGAAGTAGGAAGCTCACATGCCATTTAGATGAAAATAGAAATAAAAATAGCTTATCATTTATTTATTGCCATACTGAACCCAGGGCCCCAAACTTGTTGGTATGTGCGCTGCCACGCTCAGCCTTTTTGTTTTTATTTTTCTGTTGTTGCTATTATTGTTTTTGTTTTTGACATAATATCTCCTCCGTAACTTTGCCCAGGGTAGCCTTGAACTCAGGATCCTCCTGCCTTCTGCTGAATAGCTGGGATTACAACTGTGAGCTCCCATGTTTAACAGAGCATTTTTCTTTTTAAGTTGAAGTCATTTGTTGAAGGTTAGGTAGTGGGAGAAGTAAGGCAGCTGAGGTTCCTGTGTTTGATTCTAGAGTTGTACTGCATCTCTGCAAGGCAGGACACTTCCACTAGCTTTAAATGTCGTATGATGTCATCCATATAGATGAAAAACGGGCAAACATATCTGTGATGAAACAGGTCAGGATTGTAGATACTCCCCTTGCCCCTGCAGAAAGGTCACGCTATGTTGCCCAGGTTGGTCTCAAACTTGAGTGCTTAAGTGATTCTCCTGCCTCGGCCTCCTGAGTAGCTGGGACTACAGACAGGCACCATTGTGCCTGCCTGTAGATACTTTTGGAAGAATAACAACTAAATTCATTCATTCCATGAAAATATATTGAACTCCTCTTATTAGTAAGGGCATTAGGAGAAAGCACACAGTTCCTGCCTCTGGGGAGCAAAAGAGAGAGTTGGGATGCTAAGCAGGTTTCACAGGAGGAAAAGCAGAGTAGTTAGGTGCTGAAGGAGGTCAGAATGCAGGCCTTCTGACAATCATGCATGCTTATAACTCCATAGCCTCCTTAAATACCAGTAGCTTCTCTGGCCCTAAACCTCCATCTGTGGAATCCTTGAGTTTAAAACAAAGCTTCTGCAATACCTCATATCCTGCCCTTTGTAATTGGAGCCACATCAGAAGCTGGTCAAGGTTTAGCTTTTTACTTACTGGAGAGCAGTCAGTATGAAGTCGAGTTCCTTACATTAAGTGGGGGTTATTATTCTCTCTCTCTCTCGCTCTCTTTTTTTTTTTTCAGACTACCCCAAAACTCAAAACTGAAGTTAAAATCAAAATTATAAAGATTACCCTTTTTTAGTTTGTCTGTTTTAATGAAAATTAACTTTGAAATATTGCCTGTATTTGTACTCTGATGCTTAAAACTTGGTTCTACATGAATTTACAAAGTTGAACTCAACTCTTAGTTCTGTAAGCCTTTCAATGGTCTCTGACCAAATACATTAAAATTCCAACCTGACCCAGGAAAATTGTGTAATTTGTGCCCACTCAGTCCTTCATTTTGGAACAAGATTCTTTTGCTCCCAATCCAGAGACTGCAAGAAGTGAAAAAAAGACCCAGAAAGCCTTTTCTTCCTTGTGAAAAGACCTGACTCTAAGTGGAGCATTCTGCAAACAAAGGGTTCAGGCTTCAGCCTACACATCTCTGGGCTTTCTGTGCTGAGCCTAAGTGGAGAAATTACGTCGACCTGGGAGTAGATATGGAACAGAGGCCCCGTGTACATGTATTCCATCCATCCAGCTTTTGCTAGCTTCTTGCTTTTCTGTCCACATGGATGAAAGCTTGTATTTATTGAACACTTCCCCATATGTACCAGCCATAACATTGTTTAATTTCATCTTCACAGCTCTTTAAGGAAGTCTTTTCACTATGCTCATCTTATAAATGCTCAAACAGGGGCCAAATAATTCAGCCAGGTCATATAATTTGTAAAACACAAAACTGAACATCTGGCTGCAGTTCCTGGGATTGTACTTCCTTGCTGCAGTAAAAGAAATAAAATACATTGAAGACTGGGAAATGGATACTCTTAGGTCTGTGTATCGGGACAAGATTTTTGGAAGATACAATATTGTATCGTATTTACAAAAACCTCCAGCCTGTCTTACTGATGGAAGGAAGCCAGCAGGGACACATGGAGCGGACAAGGAGTTTCTGCGGGGACGGAGCTGACGGTGGTGTGAAGTGGGGACCGTGGTGTTTCGATGGCACCACGCGGAAGGAGAACGCTAGAGGGAGGACCCCGGTGCGAACGGACCCCAGTGCGGATGGACCCCAGTGCGGATGGACCCTCTGACCTCCTGGCGGTTGTGGGCGGCTGTAGACCGCCGCCTCGAGAGGCCACGCCCCCAGCCGCCGCGCGGACCCAATCAGCGGCGCGGCTTGGAACTCCACCCTCCCGCCCCCCCGCCCCTCCTAGCCGCGGTTATATAAGGTGGGGCCTGGCGCGCCTCTGCAACGCAGTACGGTCCGGGCCTTCGGAAGGGGTAGTGGCCGTGGCCGCGGCACCCGCCGCTTTCTACGCTCGCAGCGCCGCCTCTCTGCGACCGCCCGCGGGGCGCCGCCGCCGCCACTTAGCCTGGGCCCCGCCTGCCTTGTCCTCGGGACTCTCGGCGTCCTCGGCGGGCCGGAGCGATGCGGCTGGATCCGAGGCCCGCGGCGCTGGCGCTGCTGCTGCTGCTGCTCCTGGGCGCCGCGGCGGCCGGCGCGGGCAAGGCCGAGGACCTGCACTACCCGCAGGGCGAGCACCGCGCCGACTACGACCGCGAGGCGCTGCTGGGCGTCCAGGTGAGCCGGCCGGGCCTCGCAGCGCCGCGGGCTTTTGTCCCGGGACAAAGCGGGGCGGCCATGCGAGGCCTGGCAGGGGCGGCCTGACAATGGGGGCCGGGCGCGGTTCCGCTCGCTCTCTGCGGGGGGATCCCCGGGCCTGTAAAGCCTGCGAAGCTAGCGCGGCTCCACAGCTGGATCCCTTCCACCATCTGGACACGGGGCAGGGTCACTGAGGGGGGTGGGGTGGGGGGACGGGGACCTTGGAGAGCAAGTGAGGGTCACCCCGAAACCCTTGAGTAAGGGAGACATGCAGGTTCCCTGTTAACCTCCACTGTCACGCCCCATCGGTAGTAATGCTTGGCCCTCCCTTCTCCCCCCCCCCAAAGGAAGACGTCGATGAGTTTGTTAAACTTGACCATGAAGAGCAGCAAAAAAGACTGCAGTCGATCCTAAGGAAAATCGATTCGGATTCGGATGGCTTTCTCACCGAAAGTAAGGACTGCCCTACACCACCACCAATGGAAAAATCTCTTCGTAGGAGATAAATGAACGTTTTTAGCAAGGGTGTGTGTTGAATGAAGACGGTTAGTGTTCCGACAGGTTAGGGGTACTGGGACTTAAGAGTAGGTGTTGTACCTGAAAGGCAGGGAACCAGTAAAACTCAGGGCTTTCTCAGTAACATTATCAAAATCACTGACACCGTCTTCCTCCCATCACCTTTGTGAATCTCAACAGGATGATTCATTTTAGAAAAATATGCCAAAAAAAAACCTTCGTAAGACATTAAATGATGTATTGCTCTTTTGAGATGTACTTCATTATTGTTTTAAGAATTTGCTGCTGTTTATAAGCAAGTAGAACCTGTTGCATGTGAATAACGTTTAACATTATAGCAAAATGTTGGAGCTGGTAGGAGTCATAGGATCATCTTGGCCTCTCTATGTACAGATGAAGAAACTGAAATCCACAAGAACAAGCTTTTTTTCAAGTAAATGACAAAGCCTGGACTAGAATCTAGGTATCCTACTGTAAGTCTGTTTTAATGTCCTCAGTTGAAGAAAAAAGTTACCTTAAGTGGGTTCACTAGTCAGAAATGAAATGCACAGATTATTAAAAGAAGGTTCTAAATAAATTGCTGTGCAATTGTCTCTCTCCATGGTTTAATTCAAGTGACGAACTCCACGGTCATTCCAAGTTGATCTTCAAAAAAATTTCAGATTATCACTGTGACTTTAAATTACCTATCTTGCTACAACTCTCATTTAAATGTTTCGTAGCATCCAAGGAATGAAATATCTGTAGAGAGAATTACAAACTGGTGAAATGAAATATTGACATTGGTGCCCTCAGGAATATTAAGGCTTTGCTTCTGTTTCTTCAACAACAGTGGAACCTCTGAACTGTCATTCAGTGTAGGAATCAGTCAGTCCATCTTTGGTTATACTAGAATAGGCAGAATGAGTTGATTTGGAAGATTACCTGTCAAATATATTCAAATATTTAATAGTAAGAAGGAGTTTAGGGGCTGGAGGCAAGGCTCAAGTGGTAGCGTGAGGTGTGAAGCCCTGAGTTCAAACCCCAGTACCACCAAAAAAAAGTAAAAAAGGAACTTAGTCCAAATCTTCACCTTACAAATGACAAAAACTTGAGAAAGTAAGCTGCCCTCTTAAAGCAAAGCTGAAGTGTGAATCTATGTTTCCCATCCCTGTTCCATTCTGTTTTCTACTATGTCATGATAGTATTTTAAATAAACTAGGAGAAAGACTCAGGATACTTGAGGAGACCCAAGTATCTATTTCTATTTGAGGACCTTAAAGAGAATTTTACTCATTTGCACTTTCAGGGCCAGTGCAGGTCTCAGGTTCTTAAGTAGAGTTTTGTTTTGTTTTGGTTTTGATACTGGGATTTGAATACAGGGCCTTATACTAAGTGGCTAAGCAGGTACTCTGCCACTTGAGCCACGCCCCCAGCCCCTTTTCTTTTAGTCATTTTTTGAATAGGGTCTGATTTGGACGGTGAGCCTCCTATTCATGCTCCCCACATCGCTGGGATAGCAGCAGTGTATTGCCATGCCCAGCTCTTTTTTTTTTTTTTTCCAGTGCTGGGATTTGAACTCAGGGCCTCATGTTTGCTAAGCAGGCCCTGTACCACTTGAGCCAATCCACCAGCCTTGTTTTTATGTTAGCTATTTTTGAGATAAGGTCTCATGAAGCCTAGGCTGGCTTCAAACCTTGATCCTCCTAACCTCTGCCTCCCTAGTAGCTAGGATTACAGGCGTGAGCCATCAGCTCAATTGGTTGAGACAAAAGGGTTTTATGAATTTTTTGCCCAGGCTGGTCTGGAACTGAGATCCTCTCTCTCTTTACTTTCTGAGTAGCTAGGATTACAGGTGTGAGCCACTGCCCCCAGAAAGAAGTAGAGGTTCTTAAGCCAGATAGGTACACACATACTTGTAGTCCCAGCTACCCTGGAGGCTGACCCAAGAGGATTACTTGAATCCAGGAGTTTGAGACCAGCCTAGGAAGTAGAGAAAGATCTGATCTTTAAAAAAAAGAAATAAGGTTTGTTAAGATACAACAAAGCTTCGAAGCCAAATAATTGATTTGAATCTGGACTCGGCTCCTTTTTAGCTACAAGGCCTCAGATCGAACCTGTTTCCTCATCTGTGAATGAGTATAATTGCTTTGTTTTGAAAATCAGAGGCAACATAGGGAACTAATAATCTGCCCTGATTAGACTTTCAGGAGAGAGACGCTATCTCTGTGTTTCTGTTCACCTGACCTCTCCCAAACCAGCCAAGGAGTTCTGGTCTCTAGGCCAGTTGACACATTACCTTAAACCAAGGGGCATGGGCTCACGCTCTATGCAGTTTGTGCTGTCTCCCCCTTCCCCTTTTGTAATGTAGTACAGTAAAAATCTTTATGAAGAGATTTTTAAAAGTTGATCTGAAAGAGGACATTCGAGACTCAGGAGTTTTTTTTCCCCAGTGTTACCTCAGGTACTAAGATAAGACAAATGGCTATTATAAGAAGGGCTTAAGTCATGATTGCTACCTACAAATTGGTGAAAATTTCTCCTAGTTGTTTTGTGACACGTTTAATGTGAATATACTGTAACAGTGTTTCTCAAACTTCAGTCGCTTGAAACCTTGTCACAATTTAGGCCATGTCTACTTTCTATTTATTATTTCCTTAATATGTGTTGATTTACCTGGGCACATGTCTTGGGAGGTGGAGGGATGATCTTGAATTTGAGGTTAGCCTGGACTACACAGTGAGACCTTAGCTCAAACAAAGAAAAAGGATAGCTAGCTAGATAGACAGATAGATAGATTCAACTCACATATTTATTCTAAAGGAAAACTTTATTCCTTTCATGAATGAAAAGCAATTTGCCTACTACATATTAAATTAATATGTGGTCATTTAAATATTTGTGCTTCCTAAGAGATCTGTATAGTTAAGAAAAGTTCTCTGCAATTTTTTGGTAAAGTGCAATTTTGGCCAGTTGGTAATTCATTCAAAAAAAAAAAACTTACTCAGCCAGGCACTGTGTAGACATTTAGTTTACATCACATGGGAAAAACCAGACCCAGACTGCACTTGTGGAGCTCGTGTTCTGTCTAGATCATGTGCTACAATATTCTTACACTCCACACAGCTCTTCCTCCCTCCTACATCTATTTCTTTCAGTACTGTTAGGCCAGTTCTCACTCAGTATTTGCAAAGGTTGAAGGTATCTTATCTCCTTGAGAAGGTTTAGAAGCTCTCACTCTGCAGATCAGAGGAATTCTCAGCATTTGTTACATTCTGGGAATTTCTCCTAGGTGAACTCAGTCAGTGGATTCAGATGTCCTTCAAGCATTATGCCATGCAAGAGGCGAAGCAGCAGTTTGTGGAATATGATAAAGACAGTGACGGCACTGTGACGTGGGATGAGTACAACATTCAGATGTATGACCGAGTCATTGACTTCGATGAGAACACTGCTCTGGATGATGCGGAGGAGGAATCCTTCAGGCAGGTGAGTGCATGTGTGCGAGCTGTTCCTCAGCTCACGTCAGTCCTCTTTGCCCCTCTGCTTGAGTGAGCGCTAGGACCTGAGGTCTAGGCTGGATTGCCGTGTTCTCTCGACAATCTCCAGTTCCACTTCAGTGGTCTTTTTGATGGTTTCCTTTCTAGCCAGATTTAGGACTCCTACTCTGAACCCAAATTATCCTCACATCTGTTTGTCTCAGCTGCATCACTAAATTGTCCTCATCTCCATAGTTGTTTTTTAAAATCTGGTTTAGGACTAGAGCACCTGCTTTGCAAGCATGAAGTCCTAAGTTCAAATCTCAGTCCCACCAAAAAAATAAAATGTTTTAGGTATTTATCTCAGTATTTTATTTTTAATATTATTGAACAATCAATTTTATATTTACTAAGAAGGCTGTATTGACCCATTCCCACTTTTGAAAGTTTCATGTAAAATAACGTAGCTATAAACGTTTTTTAATTGTGGTAAAATAAGCATAGCAGATTTATCATTTTATTCATTGTTAAAATGATACAGCACAATTCGGTGGTGTTAAGTACGTTCACATATTGTACAACCAAGCTCTCAAACTCCTCATCTTGCAAAACAGAACTCTGTACCCATTATATCCATTACATCATACTCCCCCTCCCCTTCCCGCCCCCAGGCCTGGCAGCATCTTCTTCTCCCTGTCTGTGAATTCTACAACTTCAAGTACCTCATCAGAGTAGAATCATACAATGTTACTCTTTTTGTGACTGGCTTATTACACTTCATAGAAAATCCTTAAGGTTCATCCATGTTGTAACATGTCAGAATTTCCTACCTAAGAAGGAAAATTCTAAAAAGACCAAATAGTATTTTATTTTGTTTATCCATTCACTGTTGCACACTTGGGCTGTTTCAGCCTTTCAGCTCTTGTGAAAAGTGCTGCAGTGAATGCAGTGCATGTTTCTCCTTTAGATCCCGCTTTTAGGATACCAACCCAGAAACAGGGTTATTGGTTCAGTTCTGTTAATTTTTGAGGAACCTCAATACTGTTTTCCATAACCCTACATTATTTAAAAATCACTCATTTTTGAAGACTCAGTATCATTTTGAGTACTGTTGTGTCTTACGTTTTGTTATAATGTAGGATTCTTAATCAAGCAGAAATCAGGAAGACAATTTTTATTTAGGAATTAGGAACTTTTCAGGACTTCTACAAGTCTGTTAAACTAAAATATATCAACACAAGTGACTACAAGTTTGAGAAATTTCTATTGCAAAGGTAATTTTAAAGAATTTTTTAAATATGGAAAAGAATAAAAATAAAGCCAAACTCCTTATTGTGAGGCGTATGTCCCAAGGTGCTTGGGAAACATTGAATCTCTTCTGTCTTTTGTTTGTTTTTTAAGACAGGATCTCAGCATGTAGTCCTGACTGGCTTCAAGCTTGTGATCCTCCTGCCTCAGCTTCCTGAGTGCTGGGATTACAGGTGTGCACCTCCGTACATGGCTCCTTTTCTATTTCTTTCTCTTTTTTTCTAAAGGCTATTTTTCAGATAAGGACTTGCTTTTTTTCCTGGCGTTGGCATTGGACCCTGATCCTACAAGTTACGGCCGCCTGTGTAACTGGAATGACAAGTGTATGCCACTATACGCAACTTGTTAGTTGAGATTAAGTATCCTGAACTTTTTGCCTGGGCAGGCCTCAAAGTATGATCCTCCCAGCCTCCAACTCACAAGTAGCCAGGATAACAGCCACCTGACTGTTTCTTACCTCATTTTAGTATATACCTTTAATTTTTATTGTGTCCATAATTTGTCATTGTGCATGCTATTTATTTTAAAATGTTTTGGCCACTTGAAATGCATAGATCACCACTAACTAAGTTGGGTTTTCTTTTTGGGGGGGCGGTACTGAGGCTTGAACTCAGGACTTCATGCTTGCTAGGCACTTGAGCTACACCTCCAGCTCCTCTGAGTTGGTTTTCTGCTCCTGATTGCTCATACACTATGTGTATGCCACCAGTGTGCAGGTTAAGACCCCAGCCTTCCACTCATATTTGTTAGCAGTTGTGAAGCTTGGAGTAAGTTACTAAGCCTCCTTATGCCTTAGTTTCTTCCTTTCTAAAAATGGAGATAGTCTCCATTTAAATTGAGGAAAATAACGCTGAGGAGAGACAGTAAGGAGAAGCAGTAGCTGGACTGGTAAGTAGTTACATTTTCATTTACAAGAGTGTTGTTGTTAAAGAAACATGCCCTTGGGAGGTGGAGGCAGAAGGATCTCGAGTTCCAGGCCAGCCTGGGCTACATGAAAGAGGAGAGACAGAGGGAGAGAGAGAGGGAGAGAGGGAGAGGGGAGCTGCAAGATAAGACTGTCTCATGGAAGGAAAGAAGGAAGGAAGAAGGGAAGATATTTCAAATGAGTTTATAATTAATCAGTGAACTTTCAAAAATTATTTAGGTATTTGTTAACTATCAGCTTTAGGTAAATTAGGATTTAATTTATAGGAGGAAAATGGTCTTTTATTTTCCTTATTTAAGTCTTTTCCAGCAGACTAAAGAATATGAATTCTTTAAGCCTTTTCACTGCTTGGTAGTGCCGAAGAGAAAACAAAGGGTGCTAATGAGATTTGGGATTCATCTGTCTACCAAGGTTCTCCTTTACTGTAGAATCTGACTTATCTTTAAAAGCATTATTAGAGCTGGTGGAATGCCTCAAGTGGTAGAGCATCTGCCTCGCAAGTGTGAGGCCCTGAGTTCAAACCCCAGTACCACCAAAAAAACCAAAAAGCAAAACAAAAGCATCATTAGAGTTACCACGATATTTTATGACCTCCCTACTAGGGAACAACAGAAAAGTTAGTACAGTTTTTTAAAGTCTTACTAGAATTGCACTCTAATTGTCTTTTTTTTTTTTTTTTTTTTTGGTTTCTTTTTTTTCGTCACTTCAAAATATGTGTGTGTTTCTGTATTCTGTTTTTTTGCTGGGACTGGAATTTGAACTCAGGGCTTGATGCTTGCAAAGCAGGCCCTCTACTGCTTAAGCCGTACTTCCGGTCCTATTTCCATTTCTGTATTCTTGAAAGGGGATTATTTAAGAGCTGATATTGTCGATGTTAAAATTTTCACTTTGAAAAAATATATTATTCACTAATATTATAGACTTTTTATGAAATTTATGAACAATTCTTTTAGCTGTCTGGTTCTAATGCAGTGTTCCCCACCAGGTACACAGTGGATGTGGGTTATAAGACTCTCTACCTTTTAAGAATGAGTTAGATGACTCTTCATATCCCAGAGGAGACTGTGTTCCCCAAGTGAATCCTTTCCAATAGAAAGTCTGCTGGTTATTATTTGGCAGCTTAGGAATTTGTCTGTATCTTCTTGAAGTTCTAGTCATACCTTTTTTTAGAATTTGATAATGTGTAACTTCCTAAAAATTTATGAGGAGTGTAAAAATGAATCCAGGGACAAGTAAGCAGTATTCTTCAAATTAAAAAGTGAAAGACCCAGGCACTGGGTCATTCCTGCAGTCCTAGCTACTTGGGAGACAGAGATCAGAAAGATCCAGGTTTGAGGCCAGTCCAAGCAAATTGTTCATGAGATTCCATCTCAGAAGTACCCAACACAAAAAACAGGGCTATCGGAGTGGCTTAAATGTAGAGCCTCTGCCTAGCTAGGGCCAGGTCCTGAGTTCAAACTCCAGTACCACCAAAAAAAAATGAAAAATAAAGGATGAACAATAAATCAGTCTCAGCATTACAAACTAAACATTTTACCAAAAATAAAAGTAATCATAAAAAAGTAAATATGTCTAAATAAAATTATGTTTTCTATATGGAAGTCTAAAAACTTAAAACCAACTTATTACCTGAAATTTACCTTATTTATTTATTTTTAGTGGTACTGGAGTTTGAACTTAGGGCTTCGTACTTGCTATGCAGGCACTCTACCAGTTGAGTCACTCCTCCAGCTCTTTTTGCTTTAGCTATTTTGGGGCTAGGATCTTGTGTTTATGTCTGGGCTGGCCTGGACCACAGTCCTCCATTCATGCTTCTGGAGTAGCTGGGGTGACAGGTATATACTACTATGCCCAGCTATTAGCTGAGATGGGGTCTTACAAACTTTTTGCTCAGGCTGGCCTCAGAACCACAGTCCTCCCAATCTCTGCCTCCTTAGTAGCTGGGATTACAGATGTGAACCACTTTTCTCAACCTAACCTTATTTTTTATAAGTTTCCAGGTACAGAATATAAACAACTTGGAATAGTGACCCTATCAGGCTATGAAATGTCTAAAAAATACTTCTTTATAATATGATGAACAGTTATACGTCAGCACTTTTAAAGCGTGCAAACCTACCTGGCAAAACTGCAGTGCTCATACTTGGAAACTCAGCTGGTGAATGTGCATATGTGAGCAGTATTTCTTCATGTAAGATCTACCCTGCCTGTGGCTGATCTGAATGGTTAGACCTAGACTTTTGTTCTAGGATCACAGATTATGCATTTCTTCATGTAAAATCATTAGTCTACCAAAAGATGGCAGTTTTGTTCCTTACAAATTTCTCTTACAGTGGAAAGGTAAATGATTGTGGTAGTTTCCTTTTTATTTCTTTGTAGCATTTTATCCTGTACTAGAATACAAGGGTTTTATACAAAAGGAAATAAGAGTGTTGAAGTTTTATGAAACTGATCAGCTTTTTCTTTTTCTTTTTTTTTTTTTGTTTTAATTAGTTACTTTCAAACAACATTCTTTGGCTTCTTTAATATGGGGCACTTTTAAATTATGTTCAAATGGCCATAAAATGTAAACCAAAAAACCTACTTTTTCTCTTTCTTTCTCCTCCTTTTCTCTTTTTTCTCATTTTTAGAAGTTTCAGCTTGTTGAAGGAGATCCTTTCTTTCCATACCCAATGCGGCCAAATGTAGCTGGCTGTGCTGAACATGGGCCTTTCGCTCCAAAAGGCTGCTTTCATAAGGAAATCTAAGGCCTTGCTGTTTTGAATAGTGACTTATTCAAAAAGAGCTTGACTGACTCCAGAGAGAACCTCAAATCCTTGTGTGTCTACTTTTCTCCACACTAAACCTCAACATAAAATGCAAATTATTTAGTCTAAACTATTTAAAATTATGAAACATAAACCTGGAAGCAGCTATTTTTCTTTTCTGTGATAACTGAGTGAGTGCAGCTAACTGTTAGGAGTTTAGATGTTTAAAAAGACAAATTCTGTAGGGGGAGAGGTGAGCTTCTCCCCTGGGTGTCAGTGATTGTAAAAGAACTAGCATTTAGGTAAATGACTGCTGCCTAGCCTATTATTCTAAAAAACTGGAAAGAGCCTTTCTTTTCAACAGTGAAACGCATAAATTAAAAGCTTCTAAAATATTTGAAATACACTTTTTTTAAAACTACTGGCTTTTAGAAAGGGAAGCTGTATTCCCAGAAATTCTCAAAATGATTTAGGCAGGATTAACAATATAGCACCACTGGCTTCCAAGACTGGTGGCTATAGAATTACCTTTGAAAAGCTGATCAAAAGCAGCCTTGCCCCTAATAGCTATGGAACCGTTTTTCTACTTGCACATACTCTAAAAAGAGAAAAAGGAAGGTGGGAGAGGAAGGTAGAAAAGTACTTGTGTTTATTTAACCAAGAGAGAAGACCACACAGTTAGCATTTCCAAATACCTGTGCTAACAACACGAGACTCAATATAAGGGAACATTTCTGAAACATGTTAACATAGTTTTGAAAAATCATTTGGAAGAACAGGAACAATTTTTAAAAGCCATTCCATGATTAACGTATGGTCTTAACTCCTTTGAAGGCATTCCAAAATTACTGAGATCAATTATTGAAGGAGATAGTACTGTAGAAAGAACAGGAGGATCCAAGTTTAATATCCTCTAGCTGTATTTGAACTGGCAATAATATAGTAATATATAGCATTTATTTTGTATTACTTTTTGGTGTTTTTGAGATGAGTCCTTGCTAAGTTTCCCAGGCTGACCTGGAACTCATTCTGTAGCCCAAGCTGAACTCACACTTGTGATCCTCCTGCTTCAGCCCCTGAGTGCTGGGATTACAGGTGTGTGCCACCATGCCCAGCTAATATTTATCGAATACCCAGTGTTTCAGGTTTACTAATGACATGGTAGAGATTGTCATGCTAATTTCTCAGTAGAGATTTTTGCCCCAATTTTATAGATGAGGAAAACAAAGGTTGGCAGATTTTCCTCTGAATACCACAGCTACAAAGTGCCATTGCTGGGTTTATCTAGACTGTAGAGTTTCTGTGTCTGTGTTGTCTTTAATAAAAACATATCTGTGAAAATAAATGCAATACTTTAAATATCATATAGTTTGTATTTTTCAAAATATTTTTAATAATGTTACAGAGCTGAAATCTTTAAATATATTCAATTTTTTAATTTTTGAAGCTTCATTTAAAGGACAAGAAGCGTTTTGAAAAGGCTGACCAGGGTTCTGGCCCCGGCCTGAGCCTGGAGGAGTTCATTGCTTTTGAGCACCCTGAAGAAGTTGACTACATGACGGTAAGGAGAACTTGGAGAGAATTAGTGCTCACTAAGGCATTAAAATGAATTGTGTGGCAGCCAGAATTTTAAGAGACAGGAAGATCCACACATTCCACAATTTTCCCCACATGATATTACAAGTAGTGGGAAGAGTTTCTGGTGGTGGTGAGGTACCGGGGAGGAGAGGGATTTTTTTTCCATCTCTTTACTATACATGACAGCAGTCTTCCTTTGGCCTTTCTCTCTATCATAACCGCATTACCACAGGGCTTTCCTTATCCTTTTGCAACTTTCAGGTTTTTCTCTGGCATTTAGATGTTAGTAACAGCAGAACTTCTGGGACGCTTACAACCCCACTGTGAAAGCTTTGAAGTCTGGAAAAAACTTTATGACACTGGATCCCTTGAATGACGGTGGGCGGTGCAGCTCTAGTGACTATTGCCGGTCAAATACCAACTGTCACGCCATCCCATGAGTGCTGGACTTCAGCTCAGCAGGTCTCGTTGGCTTCGTGGGGAGAAACCATCATCCAGGAGTGAGGAGTAACTACCCATAACAGGAGCTTTTTATTAAAAAACATCAAAAAATGCTTCAGCTCACGTGAGGTGTGCTACATGGCGCTAGCTTCAGTCTGTGGCTGCCACCGTGGGTGTTTCGTGGAGGGAGATGCAGCTTTTGTTTAATGGAGCAAGGTCAGGATTGACTAACAAGGCAGCAGCAGGCTATCTGTTCTCTGTAGCTCAGGTGGGCGAATAGCTGCCTGTCATTAGTACTGCTCCTCGAGCTGTTGGGAAGCTTCTGACACAAAAAGAAAGACCTAGTTTAACAGCAGTGAAATAAGGCATAATTTTTAAATGCCAAATCAAGTTGGGCCAAGACTAATTTGTTAGTTCTAGAACAGCAGCAGAGGATGCTTGGCTTGGACTCCTTGCAGAATAAGGAACACGTAACTGGAAAGGGGAAGGACCCGCGTGAAAGCAATGAAAGTAACCAGTGTTAGGTGGTATGGCCCTGCCACGGGGGGTGACGTCATATGGTCAGCTTTTTGAAAGAAAGCCACACGAATGTTGACTTACTACAATTAGTATTAAGAGACAGAAGGTGAACCCTGAAGTTTTTTTTTTTTTTTTTGCTTTTAGACAGCATTGGGATGTTTGAACTCAGGGCCTTGCCTCTTCCTAGCCAGGTACTCTGCTACTTGAGCACACTCCATCCTTCTTGCTTAGTTTATTTTTCAGGTTGGGTCCTTGTATTTTTGCATGGGCTGGCTGGACTACAGTCTCCTATAACCTAGCCTCCTTGTAACTGGGATTCAAGCGTGTGCTACATGTCCCAGTTTATTGTTGAGAAATGGGGTCCTCACTACTCCCCATCTCCTGATTCTCTTGTCTCCAAAAGTAGGTGAGATTACAGCATGAGCCATGTTCCAGCTCCAAAAGTTTTTTAACCATGGCAGCATTATTGAAATAAGCTTGTTTTCCCAAGAGCGTTACTTGAATGAAAGAAATAACATTTGATCAGCGGTTCTTTTATTGGATCACAGACTTCTTTAAAAACACAAAAACTGTGACTGAATTGTCTCAGAAAAATTGTATATTTCATTACCAGATACTGGGTTATACTTTTAGGGAAATTCTCTGATCTGTCCTCTAATATATTTGGGTTTCCTAAATTAAGACCCTACTTCAGTAATACAAAATCTGTAAGATTTTAATTTAAGCCAGGAATTTGTATTTAAGTGCTGCTTCATTTAATGTAAATTCAGGTCCTGGATCTGTCTAGAATTAAGAGACTTGAGAGTATATTTGCATTACAATTGGCGATGCTAGAATTGAAATTGGGAGATGTTATGGAGCAGTGGGTAGTGGACAAAGAAAACAACAGTAAGGTAACCCGTGAGGAGACTGGCGGGAAGAAGAGAGCCAAGGAAATGGTATTAAATTGTACAGCAAAGTCCCAGGTATTTGAATGTCAAGAAGACATAGAGGGAGAAGCTATGAAGAAAAAGAGTGAAGTTGGGAGAGGCCAGGGCCAAGTAGTGAGAAAAAGCAGTAGGAGACCAAGGAGACAGTGGGGGTCTGCCCTGGAGAAGAGGGCCGAGAGGAAGTGGACCAAAGAGGAGAGTGACCAAGGGCAAGACCGCAATGCTGGTTAACGAGAAGCCTTTCAGAAGGCTTATGCCATGTTTTTGCAAAAGTAGGAGAGTCTTGCTACGCGAATTTCGGGAGGGTTACAGTAGGGGCTCACCGACAAAGAGGTAGAGGTTTCAAAAACTTGCTGTAGGGGGTGGGAAGGAAACTGAAGCGGAGGCAGGCTTCCAGGCTTCAGGTAGGGCCCCCTGAAATGGCACAAATTCATTGGTAAGGACTAAGCTTAGATTTCTGTATCTTCTCAGATTTTGTGGTTGTGGAAGAAGAGAGAAAGGGATGTGGGTCTGATACATGAGGTGGGATGGGATGGTCGCAAGGGAGGTATTGAAGCAGCTGGCCATTGAGCAGGTAGGTAAACTTGGTCAGGGAGGAAGTGTTTTGTTTGTAAGAAGCCTTGATAAACAGGGAGGAGCAGATTTTTGGGTGACGGTGGGTAGGCTTCAAGAAGAAGAATGTAAGGAGGCCTGAGTTTTGGGGAAGGAAGTGTGGCATGTGTCAGATCTGGAGGAAGAACACAGTTCTGTGCAGAGCTCTAAGATAGTGTTATTTCAGGGCTGTTACTAGACCAAAGGACAGATGGAGTTGAAGAAAACAGGGAAGTAAGAGATGGTATACTTGAGAGAGGAGAATGCAGAAAACAGGAACTGGCTTCAGTTGCAGAGGTTGTGTAGGAGATGTACATCAGAAAGAGCTGGAGTTTAAGTGACTTGTTTGGGATTTATTCTATGCTTCTAAAATTCTAGTCTTTAGAAAGATGGTCCTCGAAAGTGTGGACAATCAAATGTTATTCCTAAAGATTTCTATAATAAGGGTTGAAATGGTGGTGGCACTGAACATTTTCTGACTAATTTTTCTTTTCTTTCAATGAACATACAATAGGAATTCAGTCATTGCAAGAGGCTTTAGAAGAGCATGACAAAAATGGTGATGGTTTGTTAAGCTTAGACGACATTTCTTGGTGATACAGGCGGGATCCAAGTAATTGTCTGGGGTAGTGAGGAAGGGAGAGAAAAACAGAGGAGATTGAAGAACGAGGCAACCTGAAAAGATGGCTTGCTTATTCAAAGCTCTTTGCTCTGGGCTCTAAACTCAAGGGCTTTGCACAAGTGCTAAGCAAGGTACTCCACCGCTTCAGTCACCCTCCAGCCTTTTATTCTAGTTACATTAAGAGATAGGTCAGGCCTACTGGACGCACTATCCTATTTTAGGCTTTTCTGCTATAGCTGGGAACCTCCCCTCTGCTTGAGACTGGGAGTGTCATGAACTTTTTTTTGTCCTGGCTGGCCTTGAACTGGCAATCGCCATCTCCAAGTGAGCTAGGATTACAGGTGTGAGGCCACTAGCACTGCTTGAGAGCTCTTGGCAGAGGAACATGTAGCAAGGCGGCTATAGCTGTTAATCTAGCTTCCAATAAAGTTGTAGCATGGGTTACTGCTACTGAAAATGCTGCTTGGCTCATTTTTCACTTCACATCAGATTAAAGCACTTTCTTCCTTTTCTAGCAAGTGTAAATGCCATTGTCAGTTTCAAAAGTGGAAGAGAGTGGAGGTTGTTTAACCTTTAACCATTGCTTGTAGATCTTAAGAGAGAAACTACATACACATAGACATTAGAAGAGCTTACCAACATAAGTTGTCTGAAATTGGGAAACTTCCTTCATAAGCTGCTGTCTTTTCCTAAAGTGTCTTGCTTAAAACTTGAAAATATCAAAAAACAATTTAAAATTGGGTCACCAGTTTTCTTATTGAGAATTTTCCCTTTCACATTAGCCAAAGGATTAATTGGGTAAGAATATACAGGAAGCTGTATAGTTTTACGTGATGTGCATTTAAAAACATCCCCAGCTCAAGTCTGGGGAAAAAGTAAGTGTCCAGGACAGGTAGCAAGCACTTAATGAAAGTGCCGACCTTGGACACTATGCAACAGTTTTAAAAACTGAATGGTTTTGACTTATGTGTCATTTTTGGAAGTTTACTATTATTTGTATTTTTTATTTCAGGACTTTTCAAGTTTATTGTTGTGTTTGTTATTTTTGTTATAGTAATTTTAAAATCACTTCCTTATCTAGGGTGTAATATTGCTTCTTGGATTCATGTGATTATTCCTTGGTAGTTATACTTTATGGGCTTTTTTTTTTTTTTTATATTAAGCTGCAAGTGAGATCCAGAATGGATACTTGTGAGAAAGACAGATTCGTGAATGGATTATGACAAGATAATGATGTAGGCTTGATCCACAGAGCTATTATCGTGGGTAGGCCCATAATCAGGGCATTGCACAAGAGGAGGTAAGTGTGCAGTGTGGTGTCATTCACACATGGTGTTAGATAGGAAGTTCAAAATTTTTAAGGCCAAAGAAAGGAGTAATGGGAGTGTGGTACTATTGACAGATCGCCGAGTTTTTGAATTTAGATCGTTAAACTGGTCATGTACTATCAGGGAGAAAAGAAAGTTGAAAAATTGTTAATCATGATTATTTTGAGGTACAATGGTAGAAATGAAATAGTTTTATATTCTACCTATAGGAACTCGAAGAAGGGTTGTAATTATTTGGGTTAACTTGGAGAAGAATAACTCAAAATGGATCAGGATCTTAATATCAGACCAAAACTCTAAAGTTTGATCCAGGAAAGAGTAAGGAATATCTGGAGTTAGTAAGGTAATAGGTAAGAACTTTCTCAACAAAAACCCAGCAGCAACAGAACAAGAGATAGCATAGATAAATGGGACCTCATAAAACTAAAAAGCTTCTGGTTCATCAAAAGAAATGGTCTCTAAAACTGAAAGAGAACACCCACCGAGTGGGAGAAAATATTGCCAGCTACACATAAGACAAAGGACTGTAACCAGACATATAATAGGAAACTTAAAAAACTAAATTCCTCCCAAAACTAATGAAACCAATAAGAAATGGGTAAGTGAACTAAACAGAAACTTTCCTCAAAAAGAAGAAATTCATCAAAGTGGCCAAAAAACCATGAAAAAAATGCTCACATCTCTAGCAATAAAGGAAATGCAAATTAAAACCACGCTAAGATTCCACCTCACCCTGGTTAGAATAGCCATGCATCAGCAACACCAGAACAACAGGTGGTTGGCAGGATCGGGGAAAAAGGAAACCCTTACACTGCTGGTGGGGAATGTAGACTAGTACAACCACTCTGGAAAAAAATTTGAGCTACTAAAAGCTAGACATCAACCTACATTGATCAGCAAATACCACTTTTGGGATATACCTCAAAAGACTGTGACACAGGTTACTCCAAGGCACCTGCACACCCATGTTTTATTGCGGCACTATTCACAATCGCCAAGTTATGGGAAACAGCCAAGATGCCCCAGCACTGACCGAATGGTTAAGAAAATGTGGGTATCTATACACAATGGAAATTTTATGGAGCCATGGGAAGAGGACGAAATGTTATCATTTGCTAGGTAAATGGATGGAATTGAGACCTCATTCTGAGTGAGGTTAGCCCTGGCCCAAAGACCAAAAATCGTATGTTCTCCCTCATAATGTGGGACATTAGATCAAGGGCAATCCACAATGGGATTGGACTTTGAGCACATGATAAAAGCGAGAGCACACAAGGAGGGGTGAGGATAGGTAAGAACACCTAAAATTAGCTAGCATTTGTTGAACCTTAAACGGCGAGAAAACTAAAGCAGAATACTTTAAAAGCACTGAGGCCAATAGGAAAAGGGGAACAGGACTAGAGAAAGGTGAGATCAAAAAGAATTAACA